AATTCTTCAAATTTTGTGCTGAAAGTGAAAAGACAACTCATAGAAAGGGAGAAAACATAAATGCTATCACATACAGAAAATATACATAACATATAAAGAATTCAATAACAAGACAAATAACTCAACTTAAAAATCAAGTACTTGTTTTCAATAGACATTTCTTCAAGGAAAATATAGAAATGGCCAACAAACATGAAAAGATGCACAACATTCTTTTCCCTCTGGAAATGCAAATAAAAGCATCATGAGTTATCACTTCACACCCATTAGGATGGCTAGAATTAAAATGACAGACAGTAATGAGGATGTGGAGAAATGGCAATTCTAATAATACATTGCAGTTGCTTTGGAAGACAAATTCTCAAATAAAATGATCATATCACCCAGCAATGAAACCCCAAGGTATGTGAGAAACTGAATTGCAAACAGGCCCATACACAAATGTTGACATGAACATTCACAGCAGCACTATCCATAGGATTCATGAGCCATGTATCACTGTTCACAATAGCCAAGATGTGAACCCAAACACTCATCAATGGACAGACGGGTAAATGTGGTATATCCACACAACAGAGTACTTTCCATCCTAAGAATGAAGTGCCAAAACAGGGATGAAACTTGAGAACTTGATACAATGAAAAGAAAACTCACAAAACGAAATTAATGCTAATGGGTCTGGTTGCTTGGGGGGCATAAAATGTCTCGGAATTAGGTAGTGATCATCAATGCATAACCCTGTGAACACACTAAAAAACACAGAATTGTACTCTCTCAAAGGGTGAATTTTACGGTCTATGAATTATACATCCCAATACAGGGGTCGTAAAAGTATTTTCCAGCTTATTTGTATTGTAGTTATATTTTTAATCTAAAATAGGCTTGGGTTTTATTGCTGTATATGGGAGTGGTAAGCATTAGATGCTTATAGCTGACTTTATATCTGCATTTATTTAAGCAATATCGTAATTTAACTAGTTTACCAACAGTTGGTTTTGTTCAGTAATTCTAAAACTCGCACCAATTGTGGTCAGCTAATTTCTGGTGTAGAAGTTTTTCTGCTAACTCTGTCAAACAGTAGATACTTAAGATTAACATAGTGAAGGTTAGACATTGGTTTCCAATAGTGAAATGAGTGGTTGGCTGATCAGAACAGTGAAGTACAGAGGGGCGCTCTCAAGACATCAGGATATCAGAGTTGTCATGACACCTTAATGATAACACTGTGTCATCAACAAGGTAAAATGACTCAGGGAGGCCTGTAACCTGAATATGTCATGCTCTTGTACTAGAGGTTGCTGATGCCAATGGGAAGGATCATAGAATCTAGCCTCTACAACAAGGATTGGCAGACTTTCTGTAAAGGTCTATACAGAACTAGTTTAGCCTTTAAGCGTCATCCCATCACTGCAACTATTCAATTCCACCACTGTAGCACAAGCACAAGGGTGATAGACCGCAACTAACAACACACAAGCAAATAGCCTGGCTGTGTCTCAATAAAACTTTATAGACAAAAGCATATGAAGGCCCATACTTTCAAACACCCTGCCCTAGAACATCATGCCTGCATTACACAGGTGAGGCTGCATCACCTGTGAGAACAGAGAGGCAACTCCACCAAGTCCACACTTCTGGCCCCTGCCTACCCATACACACCGGGCTAAGAATGTCCAAGTCTGGCTTTCTTGGTTACCTGATAATCTGGTAGTGAAGCTTTAGAGAAGCAGCCTATCCTCACCTCTGTCCAACTTTTTGGTCAACTATTGTGATCTATCAGAAATAACCTAACAATTGTTATATCACCAAGTAAACAGCTGTCAGTTTGTAAAGGTGCCTCTTTTGTTGCTTTAATGATGTGCACTATTAAGACAAGTGAGTGAACTACTTGACCAACAAGGACTAAAAATTAAACTTGAATTAAACAAAAAAAAACAGGGCCTCCCTGTTGGCTCAGGGGGTAAAGACTTAGCAATATCGAGCTATCACCAGCCACTGCAGCATGAGTTTGATCCCCAGCCAGGGAGCTGACCCACATGGCGCAGCAGACCTCTCCTGACTCACCCACTGCTCCCCTCAGCAGTGTATTTCAGTCAATGTGCCTGTTCTGTTCCCCACTCTGTCTCTGGTGAGTCCTCTCAACCTCCGCACCTCTGGCCTACACCCCAGTTCTTATATGCATAAATAAATAAAAACTATTATCTTAACAAAAAAGTCAAAGCACAGATGAAGAGCCAGGCCAACAGGGCCCAGGGACTCCAAGAACTGGATCCCAGTTCCAACTCAGAACCCAGATAGCTGTCCCCACATTCTAAAACATGAGCATGCGAGGAATTATTATCATTTGTGGTACTAGAAAGAAGCAAAAGAGTTAATCACCCAAAAGCAATTTGCTATGGTTTTACAATTAGTATCTTGGGTTACCAAATTTGATTTGAATCTATTTAACACAAAGTCACTCAGAATACCCCAAACCCAGACAGCCTTAGCATAAGGCACAACACAGGGGAGAAGTTATACTCGCAGGCCTCGGCACTCCTGCAGACACGGTTATCCAACGAGGCCCACACCGCCCATCCTTACAGCTCAGCAGTCTAAGCAGTCCTGGGAGAAATACCCATCCTCTCTACTGCTGGTTATGCCTTTTGTCTCAAAGCATCCATTGTGAAATGTTCTGTTTGTATTACAATCAACTATTATTAAAGGTTTCTGCATACCGAAGACCTCGGGGAAGAGTTTCTCAAATTCTAGTAATTCACAAGCCTCTAGGACCATGCAGAGGAGCAAGGGCACCTGGACTCTACAACCTGCACTTGGAACAAGTGACCGGATGCCGTTGCTGTAGGTGCTCCTAAGACCACAATTTGAGAAACACTCCCAGGCAGTGGGCTGGCTCACCTTACCGAGAGCCTCTGGCTAACACCACTGACCTCAGCATCTGATGGCCGGTTCATGGGCTAAAGGAAGGGAGACGCCAACATATAACTATTATTTTGCCATCAACAGCATGTTAATAAATTACACAGAGACTCAAGAGCTGATTATAAAAGTACCATAATTTAACACACTGCACCCAAAAAAAAATCTACTAGTCTATACTTTCTGACAGGTGAGCAGATGGCATTCATCCCATCATACTCTGTACATCCACTACACACCAGGCACTAGGAACGGTTTTGGACACTATTGGTGATGATCAAAACAGACATGGCCCATGATCAGACCACTGGCCAGGAAAAAGACTCACCACCAGGGCACACTGTACATCAGCACATTCAGAACAGGGGGCAGAGAGCTCCATCTGGGATATAACTTAAACTCCTACATGCAAAATTTAGAATTCGGAGGGTTATAAGATAGGCACAGCTCTCCACCTCAGCCCCCACTCAGTCAGTGGAATGAATCTGAGAATCAGCCGCCCTGTCTTAAAGTTAGTTAAAATTAAACAAATTCGGGTCTAAGGGACTAAAGATGGAACACTGCAGAACTGGAGACTACTAGACTCAGCCCTCAGCCCTGCCCTACTGGGTATCACCAAGTCCTGCACTCAGGCCCGATTTCTCTCCTCTGCATCCCCATCAGCACATGTCTGCCTAAAGCAATTCAAGGAAGCCTGTGTACTTGACATGCTCTGTGTATATGTGTGTGCATGTGTAAGAGAAACATAAGGCAGATCCAAGATGTGAGCCAAGCAAACAGTCTAATAAGAAAACTTGCCACAGCCTAGTGATTTTAGAAGCATTTTTAGAAAGCATTTTGGATGTACAGGGTATGATGGGATGAATGCACTGGGAAACCACCTCCATCTTCTCATTCCGACCTTACTTTGCTTTCCCTGTCACAGAGGTTCTCACTACTTTAGAATCCTTCCAAGAGGGGTTGAGCTGCTTCTGCCTGGTCAGCTACCACTTATAAATAAATGAGAACCTGGAGGAAAACAGTACATGTGAATATAGTCCCTAAGCAGCACAGTGACAGAAAGCAGAACAACTTGCCAGTTATCAGAGGTCTCCAGAGTCAGAGGTCAAGGAGGGAATGGCCGCCATTGGAAAACAAGCTTACCTCCCCTCGGGAACACAGGCCACCTGCTCTTGGCCAAGCCTGATTTTTTACTTTACAAAAGGGCAATAGAGTTGCAACTTGATACAGCTGCAAGGCAAGTCCTGCTAAATAATCAACTGGTTTTTTTTGTTTGTTTGTTTTTTAAGATTTATTTATTTATGCATACAAGAGCTGGGGTACAGGCCAGAGATGTGGAGGGTGAGAGGATTCACCAGAGACAGAGTGGGGAACAGAACAGGCAGATTGACCAAAGTACACTGCTGAGGGGAGCAGTAGGCGAGTCAGGAGAGGTCTGCTGCGTCATGTGGGTGGCCCGCCGGTGATCTAACTCATGCTGCAGAGGCTGCGGATTGCTTCATAGAGCAGTGCTAAACCCTTCTGCCTCCAGGGAGGCCCCTCAACTGGTTTTTAAATGAGGAAGCCCTCCATTTCAGCATCTGGCTCTGGCATATCAAATCAAGAGGGAAATTTTCTCAAAGGCTGAGAGTTAAGCTACTTACTGACAGCTGGAAGCTTAATTACTGCTTTTCTTAGAACACTAACTCCCACTAGCCAATGACTACACATTCTATTAGCCAAGTAAATTAACACGTGTCCAAAATTCACATAGAAATCAGCCTACATTGAAAGGAAATCAGGCAGCGGGGCTTAAGAGGTAAAAGTCACTGAGCCTCCCATGTCCTTTCTGTGTTCTGGAATTGCAAGAAATACATTTGTCAAAAATGGTTGGCCATGAGGAAAGAACCAAACTCTTAGCGCCTGGAGATCTTGAGTGGTTGTCTAAGCTTCTCTAATCTTCAATCTCACATGCTTCAGTCAAGCTCCCCAGACCCACCAATCCAGTCCCTGCTTGTACAAACTCACTTGCATGATCACAGAATGCCAAACCTCAGAAAGCAAGCTTAAAAGCACTGTATTCCTTAGTGCCTTCAACTTACCACCACCTTTGTGGCGAACATATACTTGTCCCGAAGCTGAAAGTCTCTCACTTCCTCGAGGATCACCTCCTGGTTCTCTCGGGACTGGAAGAAGTCTGTGCTGCGGAGAACCGTGGAGTAGCCCGAGGGCTCGTGTCGTTCCACATAGATGGTGTTTGGCTTGTCATAGGGATCGATTCCCCTGGAAAAACAGACAAGTGGTCGTCATCGTCACGCTGAGTCATAGAGGGCATGGAGACTGGACCATGCAGACAATCAGCTCGGATTTTGGGGCACCCAGATGGGAGCTACAGATGACATTCTCTGTGCTACAAACATATTCCTGGGGTTACTCAGGGGCTCAGTTTGGAGGGAAAGGAACTGCCATTTGTAAAATGTTCTATGTTGTTACTGTTTTCAAAGCATCCTGGATTTTGCTTAAGGTAAGATATAGCCATGCTTGAGAACAGCAAAAAAGAATAAAAGCATTAATGAGCAAGGGGCTGCTGCAGGCTGTCAGCAAGCTTCTGGCCTCAAGGGATGAACCTCAGAGGAATGAAGGCAATGTTTCCCCAGGATGCCATGTTCTCAGAAGCACAGTTCTAGCAGAAAGCACAGGAGGAGCCCCTGAGCCTGATCTTTCTAAGACACCCTGCCCTTTCCCTCGCTGTCCGTCCGGTGCTGTTATCACTGATCTGTGCCACTGGGATTCATCCAACCAGTGCAGATTCATCTCCCATGAGGCTCCTTCACAAATCCTTTCTCGATACACTGCTCTCCTTGATGTCCTTCAGAGGCTCGGGCATATTTCTCCCACTGTGCTTTGTCAACACTATACCCCTCTGGGGTGATGCCCTCCACATGCACTCTGATCAACATCTCTAAATCAGACTCATCCTCTTAAGTCAAGTCCCCCTTTTCAGAGAAGCTTTCCCCCAATCCTCTCCTCACCCAGCACTACCCACACATGGCTTTTCTGCAGCACTCAATTTCAAACCTTTTTTGAGTTTTATAGGCATCTCAAAGAAAGGTAGAGAACAGCTTTGCAACTAGTCTCATCATGATACATGGCAGTGCTTCTTACTATGTATTCTTCATAAGTGTTTGAGCTAGAGACAGACAGAAGGACAGGCAGACAGAGAGAGAGAAAAAGATGCCTTCAAAGGCTATGTCTTACATTTCCTTTTATCCCACAGTGTACTTAGCTGAACTGATCCCTAATACATTGAATGTGTGAACCATAATTACAGGGGCCGGGCCAGTCCAAACTGAAATCTAAGGGCCCCAATATCCACTGAGAGAATAATCTATCCCAGGCTTCCTAACACAAGAACACCAAGGCTGGGGGCCATTCAGCAAGTAGGAAAATCACTGGAAAACTCAGGAAGAGAACTCCCCAGTGAGGGGGGTGCGAAGGCCCAAGCACAGGCAGGACTCACTGTCATAGGGACTCATGGTGCTCTATGCACATTGGCTCTCAAGATGATAAGGGCAACGTTCCTTCAAAGGTGCACTGGTAAGAGCAAGTTCTCAAGAAGAAAGGAAGGAAGAAGGGAGATAAGAAACAGGAAAACCAAAGTGTTTTCATGTTTGTGGGTTTTTGGTTTTCACTTGGGGGAAGATTTGACATGGCTCCACAGTCTGCAGGGCGATGGAAGAACCAGCAGCCTTAGTCCTAAAGTGGGAGTGACAGTTCGTCGGCTGCTGTGGGGGTGGTGGTATGTTCCCTTCTTTTCCACAATTAGAAATACTGATTAAAGTACTTCCTCTATCCCGGAGGACATGTAAATTAAAACCAGGCTGCTTGGTATTTTTAAAAAGGCAGAGAGGAAAGGACCTTTATTTGGCTCTTTGAGATGAGCTCACCTCTGATTCCTTCTTCACCAAAAGCAGCGGCTGACATCTTGATAGAAAGAGCTATGCCTTTCCTCCCAATTCTCATTGGAGACAGGTACTTGAAGCTTGTTTCTGAGAGCCATGCCCCCTACAACTTTACAATCACTACCTTCCCACTTTGTGCATGCCCTCACACCTATTTCAGGTGCTGTTTTTGCCCCCTTTTGGAAATTCAAGGCTTATTCTAGCTAAGTGGACTCATCAGTCCTCACCTTGCCCCACCTGCTTAGCTGACGATCCTTCAGTGATGCCCCACAAGGCACCTGGCACCCTCCTCATAGCTCTTGCACTGGCCAGTCTTGCTATTCTCCAGCTCTGGACAACATAAGATACTGTTTTTTCTCACTCCTGATGCTCCCCAGGCTGCCAACCATTGTTAAACAAATGTATGCCATTAGTCTGTGACATTATACTCACTTATTATGCGGAATCCTAGGGGGAAATCCCCCAGATAGCCTGAAATTCCCTAACACCAGACATGTGATTATCTAAAATAAGATAGGCCAGCCCTCTCCCCTAAGGTATCTTTATGTCTTTACAGAGACAGAATGTATAACTTACAAATTCCCAAACAGGAAGTTCTTTTATTTAATAATCCTGCTGGTTTGTCCTCTTAATACATGCTTTCCTAACAGATGAAAGAGCAATCTGTCCCTTTAAAATTCAAACACAGCAAGTTCTAATGGGACTCCCTGGGTAGAGGTTGTCCTTGGATGAGACTGTGGTTATAATTTCAGTAAGACTCAACAACCCCTGCCCAAGGGTCAGAAACAGCTGTCCTCTAAGAAAAGCAAATCCACTGGAGCCTGAAGACACTCAGCTGTAAGGCCCTTCTGTACTCCTTTTTACGATTCTCTATTGCCAAAGAAGCTACACCAACTCAAAGACATCCTCTTCAAACAGAAAGCTAAAAAATAAAAAAAGCACAGCCTCTACTTTGTGTAGGGCCATTACATTTAATGAGGACAAAAACTCCATGTTAAAGTCAAAAGACAAACTGGGAAATATAAATATAAAAGCACACACGCTTCCTATCACAAGATCAACAGTTACCTCACATCACAAAGGACTAATCTCGAATAAATAAAGAGCTCCTAGAAATCAACTATAAAAAGACTAACAAATAGAAAAAAGAAACAAAAGATCAGGAGATACAAGTCATAAGAAAATAACAAAAACCCTTCCTAAAGCAGGTTAAAAATGTTCAAACTTATTGGTAAGAAAAGTGCAAATTAAAACTACACCAAAATATTCTCTTACCTAAGACACATTGGCTGTGGGGAGAGGCACAATTCTATGATGATGTGAGTGCAAAACTCAACACTTAATATAAAAATTTAGCATCCTACCCAAATCACAATTTCAATGCTTCATTCACTGGGCATTATAATCACTGCACAAAACTGACAAAAAGCTCCTGTCCTGGTGGGACTTTTCGTCTACTGGGCAGAGACAGACAAGTAATAAGCATAATAATGGTGTATCAGAATATAAGTCATATGCAAAAAATAGGTCAGGGCACAGCATAGTAGGAGTGACAGGGTAGTGGGCGCAATTTTAAGAGGATCCTTAGGATTGACCTCATTAAGCTATTATCTGAGCAGACTTGAATGAGTTAAGAGAGCAAGCCATAAGTACATTCTGGGTAAGAGCATTCTAGGCAGAGCAAACGCAAAGGCCCAGTGGTAGGAATGTACATGGCATTTAACCAGAGAGAAATGATGGACATTAAATGGTTCAAAGCAAAGGAACATAATCTGACCTGTTTTTAATAGGGTCAATGTGACCATGGGCTGAGAATAAATTGTCAGAGGGCAAAAACAGGAGGTGACCAGCTGGATGACTAGTGAGTAAGAATGGCCATTTGGAGTAAAGAAATAGCTGAGTAGAAGATTCTGGATGCACTGAAGAGTCAACAGGATCTCCTGACTGATTTAATGTAAAGCATGAAACAAACACAGTCTTAATGGCTCAAAGTTTTTGACCTGAGCAAGAGAAATTTGAAATGGGGAAAATAATGGGTCAAGCAATGAAGATCAGCAGTCCATTTGGAAGGTATCAAGTTTGCTGTGAATGGGTTGAGGCAACAGTAGATAAACCCACTGACCCTCAGATTTGTATCCACTTTTGTTCATTCTGTTCCCGTCCACAATTTCCACCCTGCACACCTCCACTCAGCTACACCCACCTATTGCAAACAAACTGGATCAATAGCAACCTCCTCCACGGAGCCATGAATCTCCTCTCAAGCTATCCCCACGACTTCAGGGCTTCCTGTATAATGCATTATGTGCAGAATGCTTTTTCTTACCACCTCAACTACTGTCTCCTTAGTAACTTTACCCATAAATTATTCAACTACCTATGCTGAAAGTATCTAGTATGATTTATATTTAGCAAACATTCAAAAAATATATACCTTATGATCGAACAATTGAACAAATTTTACAGGGAGAAAAATTCCCTCTTTTCATATGATGCTCTAACAATGAAGGTCTTTAGAATCTCCAATACACTCCAGAGCTCCAGATTCCCCTGAGTTCTCTGATGGCCTGCAAAAGCCTTATCTCCTCTCAAAAATGACCTTCCTTTCTATCATCCCTAGTGAGTTTGCTCGACTTGCAGCTCCAATTTCCTTGGTCTGGAAAATGTATTTCCTGAACCAAATGCTTTACATTTCAGGTACTTTCAGGGCAGAAGTTTTGTCCTCCGTGAAGGAGCTGGAACTGGAGAAAGGAGATTAGATAACATTCCTTACACGACAGAACTTACCAATAAAAGGACTTCACGTGCTCCTGTATCATGATCCAGGTCTGGCCAAAATCATCTGACTTCCATAGCTGCAGAGACCAAAATGACAAGAGGTGGTTATGCTGTGCAAGGTGTGCCCATCTGCATGGATGCTCACTGGACGTCCACCTTGAGTTATGTGCCATCTGTGAAGACCGGCACCAAGGTCACCTCGGCCAGCGTGGTTACTCCAAGGGTAGGAAGGGAAGAACAGATTTGTGCTAACTAACAGCCCTTGCATTCTTCTCCAGATTTACTACAGTCTCAACAACAACTAGAAGGCAAATGAGCATGACTAGTCTTACATTTATTGATTACCAGAAAGTATTATTTTATTCAAGACTAGCCCTGGGGTGATGGTAAAAAAAAAAAAAAAAAAAAAACCCAAAGATACCCAGTACTTCTGCCTGGAAAAGTGTCTTTAAAAACCCATCAAGGGTCAGGGTGATTCAAGGGAAAGGACAACTGGCAAAGAAGAATGGAAGAACACCTAAGGAACCAACTGAGTCCCCAGGGGGACTTCCAAAGGCATAACCTGAGGGTTCCCCTGCCCCAAGCCAGGTCTTAAAGAAGCAGGAGACCAAAAATAACAATTATCCACCCACACTGGTAAGCTGACCCAGCCCATACTCGGGTTACTCCCTAAGGCAAGTGAAGGTAAACAGATCATGTTTTGGTTAAACCACCTGCATGAGAAAGAAATGTTCCAATCCTCTAAGCAAAACCTTTCAAAACTCATCATAAATCCTATCCTACAGGATCTACAGGTTTCACAGGATTATACCAGAGCATATATCAGGCTTGGCAAGTTTTGACCTTGAGATATGAATCCCATTCAAGCTCTCTCTCCACTTCTCTCACCCTTCCTTCAAGCTTGGATTAAAGGAGGAAAACACACACACACACACACACACACACACACATATATAGAGAGACACACAAACACACTAAGAAGGAATATTACCATTAATGGTACCATTAAATAAAAGATAAGCAAAAGCAGTAGGTTTAAAGTAGAGGATGGGGAAGTTAGAACAGAAATTCAACAAGAGGCCTCCCCGGTGGTGCAGTGGTTGAGTGCTGGGCTGCGAAGCTGCCCACAGACTCTGCAGCGCCAGTTCGATCCCAGCCACTGGTGAGGGTCCCACATGGCGCGCAGATCTCTCCTGCCGCGCCCGCTGCTCCCCTCAGCAGTGTATTTCATCAGTCTGCCTGTTCTGCTCCCCACTCTGTCTCTGGTGAATTCTTTCACCCTCGGTGCTTCTGACTGTACCTGGTGCTTGTATAAATAAATAAATCTTCAAAAAAAAAAAAAAAGAAAGAAATTCAACAACAGATCCCAGTAGAGCTCCAGACAGCTCTTCCTGGTTCTGATTAAATTCCAGAGCCTCAATTTACCCCAGGATGAACTAAAGTGCATCTACCCTGCAGGGCATGATATTAAGTAACAGGCCTTGCCAAGAGCCAGGTGTTGTTCCCTAGCTGGGCTGCAGATTGAGTGTGCCAGAAGAACAGATTTTTCCTTAGCCATGGGAAGTGAAATAGTAGCTACAAAGGCCAGAAAGGAGAGGGCGGGCAGGAGGGAGGTCACTCAAAGGACAGGCAAGCTATAAGGTGCCCCCCTGGCTGTGTCCCGGAAGCTCTCTTACCTGCTTATTGGGGTGAGATCTGTCAAAGCCCAGGAGAAGGTTGGAGACCTTGCTATGCAGAAGGAGATCAGCTGCCCGGAATGGGATGGAGAAGCCTTGGATTGTGTTGCAGAAGTCAAATGTGATCCAGAGGTACTGTGCATAAGCATCTGCAAAGATGTACTGCAAGAGAAAAGAGGTGAGCTCAGAGCAGGACCTGGCCAGCACCCCCCCACACTCCCAGCAGGGAGCACATGCATGCAGGGGGCCAAGAGGTACTGGAGGTGCCAGGGACTCAGGAGTTCCCATAAGGCTTTCTCCTGCTGTGTCCTGGCAACAAAAGGAAGCTGGTGCACACCCAAGTAGGCTCAGGGTCCGGGACAGGCTGGAGCAAAGCCAGAGAGGGCTCTCCTTGAACCAGGTCATAAAGCTAGTCAAGCCTTGCTGTTTTGCCTTTGAACTGACTTGGCTATTCTCAGTCCCTGCTGGTTGCTCAGTCACAATCAAAGGGTGGCTACTGGAAGTTGGGCCAGGGACGTCACGTTCTGCAGATTGGCTGCACACACAACGCAGCCCACATCCTCTAAGAACCTGTCAGACATGCATTTCCAAGAAACTCCCTAAAGTCACACACCTCCAAGGAGATTAGCTGCTTTGGGCTACCAGACCAGGTGCCAGGGTAGCTCCACAGCCCCCGGCTGCCACAGGCAGACTCACTGTCAGGAGCACAGCAGGAAGCAGCTCAGGCAGCAGGGGCCTCACCTCCTTTTGCTTGCACCTGGGTGAGTGACATGGAACAGTTTGGCAGGATAGTGACCGGTGGTCTAAAGAGTTCTCAGGGGGAAAGGACTGAGACAATTCAATTCAACAAATGCACCCTGAACGTTCACTTGGACCAGAAGCTCAGATTCTTCTCTACAAACCCAGGGTCCGCTCTCTCCAGCAGCTTGCCCCTCTGACGCAGGGCAGACATGTCCACAGCTAACCCTATGCAGAAGCGAAGTGAGAGTGAATGGGAAACCATGGGCAGCTCCAGGCTGGGAGATCAGAAATGACTCCATGGAAGATCTGGCCTTTGGAGGGCAGGCAAGACTTCCTTAGGGCATGAATATCCCAAGTCTACAGCAATTTGAGCTTGGGAACAAAGGAGGAGAGAAAATACAGCACGGGTTCGGTGCCAGTCTTGGGAGCTTGGGGAAATGATTAGGAAGAAAGCACAAATATTGGAAAGCTTCGGGTGCACACAAGCTCTCTGGAAGACAGCCCTGCTCCCAGAAGACGCAGTGAGGTGGGGGAGGGACTCCGTGGAGGACATTGAACCCGAAACTACAATAAAGCAGGCAGATCCGGCTCCACCTACAACCAGTCAACAGTCAATGAAATTCTAGAAATCAACAAGCCAAAGGAATCAGACCCAGGACACGTTCCCTAATTGATTCCACCTGATGCAGATCAGGCTGCAGCTCCGATCCTTTCAGCACGAACAGCACGGCTGCTCTGCCTGCTCCCATGTTGCTGTCAGTGCTAGTGCTCCGTCTCATTTGCTCTCTCCCCAAATCGAGACTTGAAGCTTCCCAGGAACTGGTTTTATGTGTTCCCTTTTGCTCCCTCCACGGTAGCTAATGCAAAACTCCAAACTCTGTAGAAGGCTCATTAAATCTAACTCTAAAGGCCGGTGAACATCTTTAAAATGAAAACTATCACAAGCAAAGGCCATCTTATAAAAATAAGCATGATCCTTAGAGTACCGGCATCATTTCTGGCATATAAGTCTTCCCCCGGAAATAACCTCACCCATCTTCCTGCCCTGAAACCATCTTGGTTATGGAGGAAGGGAGTGTTCTCAGTTTGCAAAGGTTTCTCCAGAAATCGATACTCAAACAGCTTCCTATTTGAGAATCTAAAAATCGTGCACCTAGTGACAGGACTCATAGTTGTGCATCATCCTAGCTAAAATTTTTCAGGAACACTTACAATTTGCCAGATACTGAGGGAAAAGTTTTATGTGCCTGCTCGCATTTAGTCCATTTAGCAAATCCAGTGCATCAATGCTTGGGGTATCATTACTCTCTCCTTTTACTTTAAGGACCCTGATGCTTGGAGAGGTTAACTGCTCACAGAAAGCCTGGAGCCCACAGCACTTACATCAATGAACGCTGGTTTAGGGCTTCTCTCTTAACAGTCCGCCCATCCTTACCTCTCCTCCCAACACAAAGGCAGCAGTTGCTGAAATGAAATTCCAGCCTTACCCAGGCTATTGGGCTCCTTTATGGGCCTTCTCTCTTAATCGGCTCCTTAGGCGTTCACTGGAAGCTCTCCTCCCTGGCCTCCTACAGACTCAGATCCACTCTCATCCCCCACCCTCACCGGCTCTGGCTCTGTCCTTTCTGCTTCTGCTGGCTCCTTTTGTCTTCCCGGGCCTCTCTCCACACTCTGGTAACCTGACTGCTCTTCCTTCCTTTGCTAATTCGAGTTATCCTTCCACTCAGCTGCAAGGACTGCCCTCAAGCACAAGCATTACATGACCTTCAGGTCTAATCTACCCCTGACTTCTCACTGAGATTCTATCTAGTTCACTACCTTCTTAGCATCTCCGGCCTGATGTGCACCAAGAGATTTTGTTAGGGGAACAGGACCCACAGCCAGGCAACCCGTTTTATATCGGGGCTGCTCTGTAACAATTTCATAAGTTCAAACTGAACCTGACACCTCCCCACCAAATCCCAAACTCCCTACCCACATCCCTGGCTCCAGCCATGCTACCCTCCTCTGGGCACCACCACTCACAAGCCGCCCTGGGCTGCACTGAAGCCACAGACTCATGCTGTGACGCCTCTGCCCCTGCCTTTCTCCTCCTCTACGGCTCCCCCCAACTCTGCTCTAGCCACTGGAACCAGGCCCGGTCCTGGAGCTCTGTCACGCTAATGCTGAAGGTTCCAGGCAGCCTTGAACACCGCAGCTCTCACCACCTGCAGGAGGCAGCCAGCACCTAGATACGTGCTGCTCCAGCTGTTCTGGTCCACGCCACACACGCACACGTGAGGAAGGGGCAGAAGGTCCTGCTCTGCTTTCAAGTCCCAAGACCGCCTGGCAGTCAAGTCTACCCCAGGTCAACCCCACAAAGGAGCCAACAGAGCTGACCTACAAGAGCCTCCTAAATAGTGGATTCGGGAGCATCCTCATGTACCCCACCCCTCCGACCCCATTTGCAACCACTTCCTACTCTAAAGAAGCTCCACCTTTTGGCCTTAAACTCTGTCTCTTCTTAAAATGTTTCTGGAAAAGGAACAAAATAAGCTATGGAGTTCATCTCCATGTCAGCATAAACGACTCTCCAGTTTTGAGTGGAGAAAGCAGAGGTGTGATGAGAGGAGGAAGGGCGGAGGCGGCGAGGAAGGAGCCAAGCTCGAGGAGGTGAGGGGAAAGAGCTGCTTCACAAACACACCCAGGACCAACTGCTGGAGAAAAGCAGAAGGGCTGTCGCTTCTGCTGAGCTTATGGGACCGGAGCGCACATTCAGTGGCCTTTGTAATAGAGCCCCAAACACGTCTGGACACTGCTTGCCCAGTGGTGGATGCGTTACAAGGCCAAGCGCCGGCCAGCTGGCTGGAGCTGCACGCTGGCTCGGGAGACAGCACGAAGGGCAGTGAGGAGGAAGTAGAACTGCTGGCTGATGCGAAAATAGACCCCTTAGCTTACATGCTTCCACGGCACTCCACCTCCGTCACGAGGCAAAGCCACCAGTCCAGAGCTGGTGGCCTGAATAGCACCTCCTTCCCCTTCACAGGCACACCCCACCACCCCCAGACTTCCACACATGGCTGGGCTGTGACATCTTAACCTCTCAGGCAGTGGCTCATGTGAGCCATGTCCACTTGAGTTCCTGACACTCCACACTGACAAACAGGTGTCTGCCAGGGCCCACGGCCCACCTCCCCAGCATTGACAGTAAGGCACAGGACTTGTGTGATTTTTCTCAGGAAGTGGTGGTAGGTCTCTGGGGCAATTTGCCTTCCAACAGCACAGTTAAGAGTCACCATTTCCTTCCTGAGAAGTCTTGGGAGGGGGGAGGGGGTAAACAGCCCTTTCAGGGGAACTAGAAACTTTAAAGAGAAGGCCTCACCCCTGCTTCAGGCCTCAGGGTTCTCCAAGAAGGCAGCCCCTCTTCGTTCACCCCACCAATGCCAAAGCACATCCAACTTGACTATGACAAATCCAAGACACACCCTTTCCAAGGCAGAGAGCATATCTGAAGTTTCTTTGCTGCCACCACCCCAGGGTTTCTCCTGCCTTCATCCCCTACACCATGGCCCCTGCCCTAGTCCTTCTCTAGACCAAATGCTCTAAGAGTCCCTAATCTCTCTGGCAGCACTAAGCCTCCCCCTTGCAAGCCCCTCGAGGGCTTAGCAGCTGCTCACCACAACCAGGAAGGAAGGCAGAACCTGCTAACAGACCTGTGCCCTGTGGCAGAAGGGGGCAAACGGAACTGAAGAGAGAGGTTCCAAAGAGGCAACAGGGAGCTCTCAAGGTCACCACTTCAGCAAGAGTTAGCTCTGGGACAAGGTGTAAAAGCAGTGAAAATAGACAGGTCTGCCCCAACCAAGAGTAAAGTCCAAATGTGATTCTTTTCTTGGGAGGCAGGGGGCGTCTAGATCTATTCTCCGGAGACCAGGCTGCCAGGAGTTGACCCCCAAGCAGGGCTCGGGCATGAAACAAGGTGGTCCCAAGCGCATACTTGTCTGGTCACCTGCCACGGTGGGGGAGGTTATACAGAGCCAGTTCTGATATTTTTTCAGTCGTTGCAGGTGAAAACTGGCTGTCACCCCAGGCAAGAGGGGGTTGTTTTCCTAAGATCCTTTAAGAGCCTTAGGCTGGGCTGATACTTAACCAGTATGGACCATAACAACTATTCCAGTAGTCATTAAAAAAATTGCTTCTGTACCCATTAGTAAATAGCTGCACCCCTAAAACCATTGAGAGCACCCCCCGCCCATAGCCGGTCTCCTTCCACAGGCCCTCCTCTCAAGCCAGCAAATGAAAGGTTAATGCTTGGCCCAGCAGGGTGGCCTTCAGAACCCAACTCCCTCCAGACAGGGTCAGTTCTGATTGGTCAGTGCCATCCCAGTGGCTAAATATTTTGAATACAGCCCCTGTTAACAGACCACAGGCAACCCGAGAAGCCTGCATGGGGGAGGGGGGAGAGGGGGGCACCTGGAGGCCCAGAAATCCTGTGGCTCTCGTTCTCTTGTTCCCTTCTGAATGAGAAGAGAACAGCAGCTATCCCACCTCAGAGCTTTGGCTGCAGAGGTCTTTTTCAGCATCTGTAGTCGCTGTCATCTAACCCAAGAAATGAGCTGGGGCTCTTGAGTGGGGCAGAAAGCAATCAGGCAATCAGATAAAACTCTCCCAGCTACAGCTACCTACTGGCAGGAGAGCCTGGCTGGCTGCCTGCTTCCAGCCTCCCCTCCCCCTCCCTGTCCCAGTCCCTGTCCCTCAGGGCCCAATCTCAAATCAAAGCTTCCCCACTCTAACTTTAGAAACAAAGCCCTCAGGCCAACAGGGAGAAAACAAATCACCAGTAACTGGTGGGGGGTGGTGTTCTATCAGCACATGAGCAAGCCCCCACAGGTGCACACATGCTGGTGATGCCATCAAACCAAGAGCTGAGCCCTCCAAAGACCTGCTTAGATAGCAACGAAAGTCCCAGTGGCCTGGTCATATTTGCCACCACTGCAGGTTTTCTGTGCTGTAACTGGACACACCGTGTGTCTGGAAATCCTTCCTGGCCAGCTTGATGCTCTGCCTCACCCTGAGAACTACACTCTGTCACAAGCTCCCAGGTTAGTAGCAGTTACCAGTCATGCTGCAAAGAGGACAATGAGCTCCATCTCCCAGCCCCCTCAAGCCCACCCCAGGTCCTGACAGGCAGGGCGACCACCGCCTTACACGCTTGTTGTCTGCGGGACTGTGGTAGAACTGGGCCACCACGGCTTCACTGTTATTTCCCACGCCGAAGTTCAACTTCTCGGAAATTTTCCTGAATGATTTTCCATAGTCATATGACACGTACACCTGGAACAGGGAAAAGAGCTGGTGAGAGATGTGGCAGAAGATGTGTTACTCAGCCTCAACTGGCATCCTCCCGCCCTGGGTTCCGACAGGTCCCCAACATCATGGAATTACAGATGTGCAAAGAACTCCCCAGGAGAAACAGGGCACACTCTGCCTCCACCCCAGTGCAGGAGAGGGCAGTCTGCAGGGGAACCTGCAGCCAGAAACATGCAGACCTCTTTCCTTAGGCCAAGACAAGTCCCCACAGGAGGAGACAATGGGTGAGAGCCCCTCCTCACCAAGGCTGGGTAAGTGTTCTTAACAAATCACCTCCCGAGGCAGGGAGAACATGGTTGTCTGAGGGAAAGGGACTGAGAATTTGTTTTGCCCTCGGTGGCCTTTTCAGGCTTTTATTGAGCTTTTTACATCATTTGTAGTGCAGCAACCAGGTACACGGCAGGTGGAGGGGCTGGGAGGCCAGGAGACTGGCAGGCCTCCAGCATTGGGCAAGTCATCACTCTTTCTGGGCTCTCTAGCGTTCTCTCGAGGGCTCTTCCCCACTCTGCTTCTGCTGCCATTGCTGTTGCTGCCTCTGCTGTTGCTGGCATCCCCATGACGCCACCCTTATAGGCCTAGTCTCTCAACCCAGGTATGTCCACCTATGCATACCCACGCTCTACTCCAGGTATCCACCATCAGGCACTCGTGCAAGCCCACAGTCGTCTATCACTAAATACTAATGGTGGGAGGGTGGAAAATCCTGGCAATTTATACTTACCCTACACCATCTATTGAGATGTCCCCAAAAGACAATCTAACTCTTCATCCCTCTGCTAGGAAGTTCTGCTCTTATAGCATTCCAGGAGATGAAAGAATACCCCTCCTGGGTCTCCACAGAATAACACAAGAGATGATAAGAAGTGCAATGCGCTTAAAAATGCACGAGGTTAGTTATATCAATGGCACCAGAACCCCTTTCCCAGCACGTGTGTTCTGCCATTTAGGCAATTTGAGTCCAGGAGAACAGCAGTGCCAACATCTACTGCTCTCCTGCTGATGGGTTACTCGCTATCCTGTAACCACAGGTACAGAAGGGAAAGATCCCTGCCCTTCCCTAAGTATTTGTTGGTGCCAGGAACTTCACCAAGCTCTTCAAATAAATGAGTTCGGGCAGCTTTACCACAACCCGAGGTGGCAAATGCAAGGACTAACGTCATTTCACAGGGAAGGCAAGAGGTGCTTGTGACGTTAGAGTAACAGAAAGTTGCAGCAATGTGGGGTTCAGACCTGATCTACCTGCCCCTCATTTACCTGCCAGGTATCATCTCAAAGTCACTACACCTCAAGTGAGGGACAGCTGTCAGGTGTTTGGTACCTGGGCTTTAATACCTGTGTCATAGGAAATATAATCGGTGAGTTAAAAACAGTAACTGACAAATACTTAGAATCGGTGTAAGCATTAAAGAAAACCGACAGGTGATTTCAAGGAATGGGACTAATTCCAGAAAGTGTCACCATCCCTGTGTGCCCGCTGATTCAGACAGCAAGCACGCTCTGAAGAGTTTTCTATGAGCTGGGTACTGTGCTAAGCACCAGACATACAAAGACACATGGTGTTTAGACACAATGGGCCTGTATACACGCAAATATCTGTAAACAATGCCCCCCCACGTAAACAGTAACCATCACAAGGCATGTACAAAGGGATGGGGGAGCACATGTAGGTTGTTGATATTTATTAGATGTCAAGGTTTAAAAGAGCAGAGAGAGCGCCTCTGCCAATAACTGGGTCACGGGAAGAAATCCTATTACCAACACACAGGCTCAAACGCAGCATGTTCCCAACTACCAAACACGCAGCAAGGGGCCGCCACAAAGGCAGCTTCAGAAGTTCAGCAGGCTCAGAGCTCACACACCATCCGAGCGGTTAAGAAGCCAAAGTGGCACTTTCTCACTCTCGTTCTCCTGGCCAAGAATGGACGGTAGGAGTCCCCCAGAGACTCAAAAGTCACATGCAGCAAACGAGTGGCTTCTCAAAAAGGGACTCAGGTCCCCTCTAGTGCCAACATCCAGTAAACTGATAATCCACTAGGGTTACCTCCGCGGAGGCACACAAGCGATAGCAAGTTCATGTTAGGGCTGCATTGTTTAGAATACAGTACTCTTTTGTGCATACTATCTCTCATCTGCAGAAATGGAGTTAGGCTCACGTTGCCTCCTCCTGTGTACCTGGACATAGCAGGTTCTCACTCAAGGTTTCTGGAGTGAATAAATGTCATTACAGACATGAATGTTCCATAAATGAATAAAAACATGTAAATGAATGGCCAAGTGACTAGGTGGATCATTATTTCCATGTAAGAGGTAGCAAAAAGTAAGACTCAGAAGTGAAAGCCCAGCGCCAGCTCACAATGCTAGTAGCTGACAAAGCTGCCAGGTTCCACCAATGCCAAGTCCAGTTGTCTTTCCACGCTTGCAACTTAACCTTCCAGAAGGTTCTCTCCTACATACTTACGGTTCTCTGTTAAAGGGGGCGGCCACACAACGGATCTACAGGACAGATGACGGAAGACACATTGGAGGGTAGAGAGAACAGACCGACATGAACGAAGCACAAAGCTGTTCTTGCCGAGATGCTCAGCCAGGCTGCTGTACTTTACACTCTGAGGTACAACCACCATCCTCACTACCAAAACATTCTTCCTTAATTCTCCATCAGCAACATCCATCTCTTTGGGTCATATATCTAACAGAAGTTCAGAGTGAGAACGTGGCAGTCCATCCAATGCCGCAAGGCCCACGTCAGCAGCTCATCCACCTGCTTTCCCTCTTCTAGGTTGATAATTGCAACACAGTATTTCCAGCCTATTCTCCTGAGTCCTGTTTCTTTGTGATTAATGTAGACCCTCAGCTCTCTGGGGCCAACACCAAGCTCAAGGCTATGCTCAGCCACCCATTTTCCTCCATGAGCTCACTCCAGCTCAGGTGATGCCAAGCAGGCTGCCACCTCTCGGGCTCCACACAGGCCCCTCCCTGTTGTCCTTCAGGGCAGCAATAGGCTGTTGACTCACTCACTGCCCACTGCACCCTCCAGGTGGATTGAGGCAGACACCCTGCACTCTTTCAGCTTGTGTTTCTACCACTTGTTTTTCATCCAGGCATGGGTTCCTGCACTACTCAGTCCTCTGATCTTAACAAGGCACAACTCCCTCCTAACTCCCTGACTTACTGAGTTGGGGTTGGGGGTGGTGGTGACTGAGCTGCCAGAAGTTGCTGCTAAGACCCCTTTCCTACTATTAAGATGGTCCTTTTGAACAGCTTTAAAATCTTTTCCCTGTACTTGGAAACCATGTAATAGTGGGAAGCTGGGGAAGAAGCAGAGGCCGAGGGGAAATGATAGGCAGAGAAGGGTTAAAATGAACAGAAAACATCTCCTTATCTGGGACTATTCTAAGAACTTGACACCAGGGCTTCTCTAACCTGCCACAAGTCACCTGGCAGGGCGATGGTCAAAATACAGATTCTGTATTTCTGTATTCTAATTCAGAATCTGTATTCTGGAGTAGTCCTGAGAGTCGGCGTTTCTAATCAGCTCCCAGAAACACACACAGGGCTGATCCAGAGACCACACTTTGGGGAGCAAGGTTTTACAAGTAGGATCTCAGGGACAGATGAGCCAAGAGAAGTTGGCCCGAGGTCAGGCTGCTAATGAGTGGTGAGCCAGGCTTTAACCCAGGTGTTCTCATTTCAGAGCCGCTGCTCAGCTGGTCATCAGCTCCCACCACATTCTGTGCTATTACCACGTCTCAGCCCTGCTCCCAGGTCAGTCTGAGGGGCACAATCTTGTCACCACTTCGGTGGCAAGCGCAGTGAGTCCTGCCATTCCTGATTCCTTGCCTGATCAATTCTGATCTTGCATGGCCACTATCTCTGGATAGCTCTCTGGTACTCTCTGGCTATTGATAATGCATATTACAAGTTCTTTGCACATTTATCAGGAAAGGGCAGAAACAGAGGTGTGGGAAGGGTAGAGACAGGTAACACCTACAGTTTCTTACATCCACCACACATCACAGTTGATGATCTGGAGGAGCCGTTCTTCACGGACTCACACTGGCTTCACGCTCATCAGGACATTATTCATATTTTTCCCCTTATTTAAGAGCAAATCTTCTGGGATTCCAGCTTCCAGATCCACTCCTTTCTATACACTGAATATGCGTGCGTTGGCCACGCTACAACGCTTGCACATTGCCTTATTTGTGGAAGTTCTCTCTCTGGACTGCTTGGGGGCCTTACGCTGCTTCCAGTCTTCTTTAACGAAATGTGGATTGTTACAACTCTGGCATCACCAACTCCTGCCTCTGAGTCATAATTTATTTTTGCATTAACTTTCCACATCAGAGCATCTTAGTTTCATCTGCCGATTCTAATGTAGCTTATATCCAGAGGGGGGAAATCTCTGCCCTCCCTATTTATCTCTAAGCATTAAGTATCCTTCCATTTAATCTTATATATTCCATTCCAGAATAGTCTGTCACTTCGAATGTTCAATGGGCTAAGATACACCCAAGTACGTGAAAAGTGAGAATCAGGTCTGGGTAGCCTGGCAATAGCAAGGGTGTCTGTCCAGGACTGAGGACAGGGGTTTCAGGATATCGAACTATCAGGGCTGAAATGCTCACAAGTCCTCACCCTACATCCTCATACACGGAGCATGTCTGAGACATGAGCCCTGTCTCTCCACGAGGCCTCATGTAGATCAATGTCTCTAGGCTCCTGTTTGTCCATCAAAACCATAAAACAAGAATAAAGTCTTTTATCAATCTCACCAAAATACTGTCTAAAGAAGGTTTTAAATGCATAAAAACCCTAAGGAGGATTTCTCTATACAGTAGGGCATAAAGCCATTTTCTGGGCTCACAAAGGACCCTAAGGGCAGACTATGCACCCACACAGGTGCCCGCAGACATTCGTAGGGCCAGCAAATGCCAGACATCTGTGCTTGTAAACCCTGATCTCGTGTATAAATGGATCAAACTCCCTGCCCCAGCTCACTACACCCAAACTGGCTGTTAACAGCAGGGTTCCCACCAGCCATTGCTTAGCACCACCCTGAGCAAAGCTATCCATCATTATAGCTGCCCTTCTCCTGCCCTCCCCGACTGTGGTTGTCCCGATTCAACCCACCAGGAAACAACCCCAGAGGCTCCCTTGGGTCACCTGCCTTGGAGCACATCCAACCCAGATAGTGGATTTGCAGAGGGCAGGGGCCTCACAGAGACCAAATCTACACTCAAGAATTACAATTGTATCCCTCAGGCTTATATAAAAATGCTAGCAAACATATTGTGAGGTTTCTTTTGGCCAGAGCACAGAGGAACCAAAGCTCCATGGCCTGTTTTTCGTCCACAGCTTCCCCCATGTCACAGGGCAGACCAGGACCTAAGGCAGGGCTGTTCTTCATCCCCACAGGGGAATCTGGGACAGGGACTTGGAGCACAGACCTGGACAAGGAGCCAGCTCTGACCCTCATGTATGTTTTTCTTGGCCCAAACATGGTTTATAAAAATTACACATTACCTGCCAACTTGTAAGATTCGTATAAAATTTTTCACATAAAAATCCAGGCGTCTGAGCATCTCTTGAAAACACAGAAGACTGGGGTGTACTGATCCCTGCTTTGGGCACAGGGACCAAACCAAGAACCTAAAACAGCACCCCCTCAGAAGGATATATTCTCCAGTTCACCAAAGTTCCTTACCATTATCCTAGGATGTCTCAAACACTGCAACCGAATATCAATCACCACCTTCAAATTACACACAGGTGACTGTTTCTTGAGCCTGTATCTATCAAAAATAGGAAAACTACACATTGTTTTGGAGGGTCACACACTTCAAAATGAAGGGGAGAGATCCCTTTTCTTTGGGGAGGTAGAGAGCGTCATAAGCTTGGAGGCAGATTCACCCCTGCCCTCTCTCCAAGGCCTTTGAATGGCAACTCTTCAAAGCCCCTAAACTATCAAACACTGCAAAAAGTCAACTATGGAAAAGACTATGGAGGATCAAATTCAACTCACTGAAGTCTAATGAGTTAGAAGGATGATCCCGTGAGAAAAGCCAGTGCAATTCCATCCGGTTCTGCTGCAGCCCCCAAAATGCCTCAATGTGGGTACAGTGCCTATCCTATCAGGTCAGAAAAGCAATCCCAAGTGGTGTGGATGTTTGCAACCCTAACCTCATCACTCTGTGTTTAGCAAATAAGGAGCAGACACTATTCTAGATTCTATTCTTGTCAGGTAATTCGTCCCATCCAATTATGCGTTATGCTTTTCTGACATGGCCTCAGCAAGGCACAATGGCCCCACAGAGCAACCCCATACTTACGTCACTGCTCTTGGGCCGTGCCAATGCCAGGCTGTCTCGGGCTAAGGCCACAATCACGTTGCTCTTCTCTCCAGCCCAGTGCACCACCATCTGATTGTGGGAGTCATTCAGGCTGACCTGAAAGAGACCAGACCAGCAAAGGACTTAGGGTGCCCGACCAGGCCATAGCATTCGAAACCAAGACTGTCTTATGGAAATGACCTTGTCACTGGAAATGACTTTTCTGAGATCTGGAGCACTGGCTAAGGGTGGCCTATTTTTCCTCCCATGCATATTCCCAGACTCCACATCCCCAGGAACAAACACCAGGCCCCTGCTATTTTACAGACAAGTGGATTACAAAAAGAAAAACCCTCCTCAGACTCTCACTGGCATAACCAATCACTTTGCTTATTTTTATGCTTTGCGAAATCAATCTCTGGTTACTTTCATCCTTATTTATACACAGGACAAACCCACCTAAGGTTTGTATCCAAAACACTGAAATGGCTCCCTCAAAACAGTGCCTAGGTCAGAAAGACCACCTAGTTCCAATCCAGTGCTTTCTCTGGTCTGCAGGTGAAATTGCTCCTCCTTAGTGCAAACAAGGATGAACAAGGGGAAACCATTCCACTGCAGATTTAGTTAATTTTGAAGTGAAAGTAAGGAAACATTGCCAGGACTCCACAGAAATGACCTTTGGATTATTGCTAACAGTACCCCAGACTCCTGGATTTTGTAAACCTATAAAATAATAAATCAAGAAGGCTAAGAGGATTGGCCAGTCATATATTGCCAGGTAAGGGCATTAACAAAACCGCCACTGTGTCGGAGTTTGGCTGGCTGCACTATTTCCTGTGCTTCTGAGGACACAGCAAGCTCTTGTCCAGGCTGCCGTGCAGAGGGTGTGGCTCTGGGTCTGAGTTCCAGCCCAGAAAATGTGAGAGAAGGTAATTAGTGCCACAACGCCGGCCCCACACAGCCTTCTGTTTTCTCTCCTGATCTGCAGGCTGCATCCAGAAAACTCCAGAGTCCCAGGGGAGAGCAAAGCCTCCAGACAGAAGGACGTTATCTCCCCAAGAAGGCCCGGCCCTAATCAGCAACACGGAGCAGGTTGTCTATGACCCAAGCAGACGGGGTAAAGGAGGAGAGAGCCCTGGACCCCTCAGTGGCTTTTCAGGCTTTTATTGGGATTTACCAATACACGGCAGGCAGGGGTGCTGGGGGGGCCGGGAGGCTGACAGGCCTCCCAGCCCCCAGCAAGTCTTCAATCATTCTGGGCTCTCTCGCGTTCTCTCTGCTTCTCTCGTGATTCCCTGCTGACATCCCCGTGACGCCGCCCTTATAAGCTCAGTCTCTCAGCCCAGGTGTACCCACTTACGCATGCCCACACCCCACTCCAGGTGCCTACCATCAGGCATGCATTCAGGACCGCAGGGATTCATCATCAATTCTAACGGCAGGAGGGCAGAAAAGCCTGATACTTTTTATTTACCCTACAGAGGAATTTCTGCAAAGGAAGTTTTAGTCCAGGTAGCGCTATAGGGTGAGCAGGGCTGAGTCAAGCGCTCTGAAAAAGCCATTTCCCCCTCACCATCTGAGAGGGGACGTAAAGGGGAAACGTAGGGGCTTCTCACGGTGGCTCCGGAAGCTCAACTGGCCTAATTAACTCACAGCTGTCCATAATTCCGCTCTAGAACATTCTTTGGGGGGGGTTTGTTGGGCTTTTTATTTTTAAGATTTTATTTATTTACACAAGCACTGGGGTACAGGCCAGAGGCACGGGAGGGTGAGAGAATCCACCAGAGACAGGGCAGGGAGCAGAACAGGCAGAAGGACGGAAATACACTACTGAGGGGAGCAGTGGGCGAGACAGGAGAGGTCTGCTGCACCATGTGGGACCCTCCCTGGCTAGCCAGGAATCGAACCGTTGCCACCGAGGCTGTGGACAGCTTCACAGCGCTGTGCTCAGCTGTGCTCAACCCGCTGCGCCACCGAGGAGGCACGAACATTCTTTGTTTTTTAACTGGGCCTTAAGGACCCCTAGATGGCGTCCATCAGGCACAGGTGTTGCCAGTTACCTACTCAAAGGACAGTGCTTTGACGTCCACAACACCTCAGTAACAAAAATCCTGAAAGCTGGTGTTAATGTTAAGAATCAGGACAAAGCCCCCAAACCACGGTATTGCGTCACCTCCCTCTTGCTAGGCAACATCAGGGAGAAGCTGTTCCACAGCCTATTCAAACTCAGCTGTCTCAGGCACTCAAGTTTCTGGGCTCTAAGTAGGTCCCGACCCAGACCTCTTGGACTTTGGCAAAGGATGATGAGCCTGAGCTTCCCGGACCTCCTAGTTTCTTTCCATCAAGGTTCTGTAGCAGAAACCCTCCCCTCGCCACGCGCCCCCTTTCTTCCTATCCTTCCTGGAGACCCAGCACACCCTAACTTGCCCCACCCACTCCTGAGGCCCTCTCAGCTGTCACCAGGAGAAGGGAAACACCTGTGCCACCAGCTTGGCCGGCAGAACCACCAAGGAGCTAATCCTTAAGTACTTTGCTTCAGGCTTCAGCACCTGCATCTAATTTGATCCAGAATCTATCGGTTTTGGAAAGTATTTGAAATGAGACCTCTTTAGAGACAAAGACCCCTGATATTTTTGTGAATATATTATTGCAAAATGTTTCTTCTTGATTCCAGAGAGAGAAGCTCTGCATTGACGGAAAAGTGCAAATAAAAAACAGAAATAAATAATTTAATCCAGAATGCTATGGGGAGAAAGCAGCTAAGGAAGCCTCCATTGGTTACAGTGGCCTTCGCCCAGCCCTCCCTTCTCCCATCTCTCCTTCCAGCCCATGCCTCTAGGAAGAATCTGGAAGCATCTGTGAACCAGAAGCCCACCAGCACAGGTGCCCTGGAAATTCAAACTAAAATTCAGCTCCCCTCCAAAAACAGTCTTACCCATAGAACCCGAATGCAATAACCAGAGGAACCTGTATAGACACCACACAGAAAATCAGGAACCTAGAAGCATCACCCCTGTTCATCCAGCAGCAGGGATGACAAAGCCCCCCTGGGCCTCCTCTGTGACCGTCACCACTGGTCTGCAGCAGCTAACAATGACGTAAGGCTCTGAACAGGTCACAGAGCTTTCAGCAAGCAGTGGAGAGAGGCCTGAACCCCACTTGCAGAAGTCCTTCTGCTCAGCGGAGGTGAGATTCACGGCCCCTGCACCGATGTGAGAACAGCACAGAGGACAAGGATCAGCACATCCAACAGCTTTTGTACAAAGGAAACCTGGGCGGTAGCTTGGTGAAACACCTTCAAAAAAAGACTTTTTTCTTAGATGTCCCTTTTATTCCGAACAGCAGGCTATAACAGGGCAGGCCAGTGCAAAGAAAAAGAAATCCTGGCACGAGATGGCTTGTCTAAGGGCACCGGTACCACACAAACAGTTTGGCTCCTGTGTCTGGAGAGCTGTCACAGGAGTCACTCCCTGGAGAGCTGCAGGTGGGTCACGGCTCATCCACTGGCGGCCCGGGTGCCCACACGGTACAAGCCCAGGGCCAGCCAGAAATCCAGGTGCTCAGAGGCCAGCAGAGGGACTCAGCAGCAGGCTGCCAATTTTATTAATGCAAAAACCAAGGCACTCTGGCCTTACCTTCCAACTCTCTAACTCCCCTGTCTCCATTGCCACCACCCCGTACCTCCCACAAAGGGAAAGAGGAAGAAATGGAAGCTAGCTCTCCTGGTGACCTGAAAACCAGAGGCCCAGACAGCCTCCTGCCATCCACAATACCACCACCCCAGCTAGATACCCTCACTTGATGACATTTGTGGTGCCTTTCCCATCCCCAGGGGTTTCATCCTGGTCTCCCCTCCCTGAACCTCCCCCTCATCAGCACCCTTGGGCTCTTGAGAGCCTTCAGACTGGCCTGGCTCACACAGCCACACAGAAAGGGGTGCAGACACAGACCCAGAAGACGCAGGTGGGGGGCAGGGGGAGGCACTGGGAGGGTGGCTTTTCCAGGAACGTAACCTTGAAATGCAGTCAGTCATAACCACAACCCCAGGGCATGAACAACCTCTCCTCTCCCATCGCCAGCTCACAGGGCGTAGCTGGAGCTTGATAAATGAGACACAATTAATTGGAGCTGCAAAAGCAGCAGGGAGGGGGCCCGATGCCTCCCCTCAGAAGGCGAACAGAAAAATCACATGCTACAGAAATCTCTCAACACGAAACTGCATCATAAACAAGAACAGCTTCAGACTTCTGCTGGGTCACAGGCAGTGGTCAAGAGCCAAGAAAACCCCCAGAAGTTGCCTGGTTCAAGGGCCCCCAGCCTACTGATAGACTCGCCAGAGCAGCCCCACCCCAGACCTATAGATTCAGAAGTCCCCTGACCAAAGCCCAGGAATCAGTATTTTTTTAAAGATTTATTCATGCATACAAGAACCGGGGTACAGGCCAGAGGCAAGGGAGGGTGAGAGGATTCACCAGAGACAGAGCGGGGTACAGAACAGGCAGACTGACTGATATATACTGCTGAGTGGGGGGAGTGGGCGAGACAGGAGAGGTCTATCGCGCCATATGGGTATCTCCGCAGCCGGCTGGGATCGAACCCACGCCACAGAGGCTGCAGACAGCTTCACCGAGCTGTGCTCAACCGCCTACGCCACCAGGGAGGCCCAGGAATCAGTATAAGACATGCACACACGTGTCTCTAATGCATCTTATTTGGGGAGCAAAGAATCTGGCCCAATCCCCATGCCCCTGGTAGGACCCAGGATCTAAATGCCAGTGGCTGGAAGACTCAGTCTGGTAACGTGGTTGTGGTGGGGAGGTAGCTTGGGGTATTTGGGAGTCATTGTTAAAATTCTATGATCCACTGATATATGCTATAATGTGAACAAATCGCAAAACACCATGCAATGGAACGAAGTCAAACCCAAAAGGAGACATGTTGCTTGGTTCCATTTACATGAAATATCAAGAACAGGTAACGCCACAGACAGAAAGCAGATGGTGGTTGCCTGGGCCTGTGGAGAAGAAGGAGCAAGCAGTTACTGTTTAACAGGTAAGGGGTTTTATTTGGGAGTGATGACAATTTAGAACTTGATAAAGGTGTGGTTGCACGATGCT